GTCTCACTCTGTCACACAAGCTAAAGTGCAGTGGCACAATCTTAGCTCATTGTAGGCTTGACCTTTCAGGATCAAGCAATCCTCCTATCTCAGCCCCCAGAGTAGCTGGGACTACAGGCCTGCACCACCAGGCTAGACTAAATTTTATATTTTTTGTAGAGACAAGGTTTCACCATGTTGCCCAGGGCTGGTCTTAAACTCATGGGCTCAAGTCATCTGTCTACCTCAGCCTCCCAAAGTGCTCGGATTACAGGCATGAGCCACTGCACCTAGCTAATATTTATTTTTTCAACATTTATTTAGTGATTGTTGCATGGCAGAGTAAGATGAGTAATCTGAATTATTCAGAGTATAAAATGTGGTCTTTATCTTGAAGGAACAATGATAGAACAATGAATGGAATAAATAACTGTCAAAACAATGTCTTCTTTAAAGCCTCTTTTATTATAATTTCTTGAATATTTGTCATTTTTATAGTTTTCAGTTCTTCCAGTATTATCATATAAATACTATAACTTGTGAGCAAAGTACCATTTAACTGAAAGCTTATGAATGAGGAAAAAAGCAACCAGAAAATATCTAAGAATTAATGTTAGATATCTCCTTATTTAATAATTAAGAACTGAAAGTAATATGGTTATTGTAAATAAAAATTGAATGAGCTTCTTAATGTGATGAACTACATTTCAAAAGTACACGCCATAATCCCTTTTCTAAGAGATTAAAAATAAAACATTATTACTAAAATCAGAAATAAAAGCATTTTTAGCATATGCCAGAATAATAATGTACAAAACAGTGGGTACAAATTAAGGAAGTGTTTGCTCAGTTCAGAGAGATAGGAAAAAGCTAAATCCAAAAAACCAGGGTAAGATTAGACAAGTAAACAGATGAGGGGAGGCTATTGCAGGCTGGAGAGAAAATATGAATCAAACGCTTCAGGTGGCAACATATGTGTTTGTGCATGTTACTTAAATGTACACATATATGTGTATATCCCTACTAGTTAAATGCATACATGCACATAAATACACTGATATGTGCTTCCATTTAAGGATAAGTCTTTTAATTCACCCAACAGTCCACTAGACTCAATTATTTGATATCTGAAACCCCATATTTTTCAGCAACTGGCATGATGCCTGGTACACAGTAGGTACTCAAGAAATATTTCTTGAATGAATGAATGGACACTGTAGAATAGATGTCAAAATGCTGATGCTCAAGGTGTGAGTTTCCCAGTAACAAGGAGTTAGTAAAATAAAACTCTGACGGAATTTCTTCTTCATTTCCTTTTTATTCAAAGTCATCCTTGGACTAGAAGCATCAATATCATGTGGGAGCCTACTAGAGATGCAGAATCTCTGGCCCTACCCCACATATACTGATTCTGAACCTGCATTTTAACCAGATCCGCAGATGAATTGTATGTACCTGAAAGTTGGAGAAGCACTGTGCTATTATGCCTTATGTCTTAGAAAAATAAGAAGGTGAGTTAGAGCATTCTGGAGGTTTGTGAAGGAGAAAAGAAGAATTAATGTGGAGATATGAGTGGGAAGCACTTCAGGGAAGGCTGTGAATACAAGTCTGAGGAATTCATCTTAAAAACCAGGGTTTCCAAAGTAGGAATCTTTAGACTCCAAGGGGGACAGCAGGAAAGCAATCCACTGGGCTGTGAGGAAAAAATTTTAGAACTCACTAGTATGTAATTTCTATCTAAAAACAAGAAGGAGACTTGACTTTACTAATAGTTGTTCTATTTAATGTTTGGCTACACCCATTCCTGCCTCACTCATTAGGTTACAATTCAGATAGGCAGCATGGGAAACATAATTCCAGCAGCCCACAGAAGCATCATTCCCTCTCCCCAACTCCTCCCCACACCTGTACACACTACTGGGTAACAAACTATAGATAGACTTACTTAAGAAAACCCTTGTCTTAATCATGTTGTTTTCATTAAAATAGCCTTCACAAAATGAACAAGTGATCTTACTTCCTGAGCAAACGCATGCACATATACATATGTGTGTACACACGTGCACACATACACATTGGATATAGGGTTAAAAATGCAAGCACACATGAACAAGAAAATAAGAGAGAGAATTCTTCTCCTACATCTGATAAAAGGTGTTAGCCACATTACAAGGGAAAAACAATGACAATCTCTTCAAATCTGACAAGAAGGCAGCCAACAAGTGAAAAATGTAAATGCTTTTCAAAAGAGCCTTATGTTATGAAGTTGGTATGTCAAAAACGAATGTCTGGAAATATTTCCATGGATTGTGTTTTTGTTGACAATACTAATGTAAGTATATATTCTATAAAAAAAAAAGCTTGCATATCTGCATATTTAAAACTATTGGAGAAAAATGTCTAACCTAAAAAAATCTTCTACATAGAATTAGATTGAGTTTAAACAAATGTAAAAATGCAACACCTTCTGTTTAGTTTGCAAAAACAACTGACTGACATAAGGGAAGATGAAAATGGATGAGCTGGCTTTAAGCAAAAACCTTGGCTTCACTGTTGGTTGGAACTGAATAATGGGTACTCTGATTTAGTAAGTGTAACCCATCTTGAACTTCGTCAGTTTAGATGTAAATATCTCTATGAGGTATCTTTCTCAAATGTGACATATAATAACACCAAGTACTTAAATAAGCTGAATTTAGAAATCACCATAACTCAAAAAAACCAAAAATTTAAAAAATAATAAAATCTATCCAACCATGTTGTTCTCACCAAGTACAGTGCAAGGGCTAATAAATTTTATACCATTAATAAATTTTAACTTAATGGATTTAAATATTTACTTTCTCTACATCAGCATGTCTTCATATTTGTTTTTGTGTATACTTTATAATGTTTGGTATTTAACTTACAATATTTCACCTGATTTTATCTAATGTAAGTTGTAATCAATTGAAATAGGTAACATAACTGTATGTTCCATTAAGAAAGATGAGAATACTATAATTTTAATGCTGCCAATTGTTTAAAGGCATCAGATTTCACAGATGTTAAAATCTGGTGGAGGGGTAGTACAACTAGAATAATTATGATTAAGTGTGGCTGCTAATAAAACAAAAACAGCAGTGGCCTTACTGCCACATAAAACATCAGAGTCTTTCTCTTTCCTACAAAACTCTGGAGATAGGCAGTTCAGGCCTGGTAGGGGGATTTTACTTTGCAAAGATGTCAGTGAATCAAGTTTTTCCACCTCTCTGCTCTGTCATCTCTATAGTGTGTTTCAAAGTGAAATCTAAAAAATGAGAAGTGAAAGATAAATGCCAGTTCTTTCTTAAGGAAGGAAGGAAGGTACAGAATTCCCCACACAGTTCCACTTATATCCCATTGGCCAGAATCTGGCTGTACAACCAGGCACAAGTACAAAGGAGGCAGAGGAGTGTAGTATTTCCTAGGTGGCCACGGTGCCAGCTACACTAGCTTAGGATAGGAAAATATCAAGTATTGGAAGACATCCATATGTCTATCCATGATAAATAACTAGCACAGGAATGCATGTGATATGGTTTGACTGTGTCCCCACCCAAATCTCATCTTGAATGTAACTCCCACAATTCCCCTGTTTTTTGTTTGTTTTTTTGTTTTTTTGGGTTTTTTTTTTTTTTTTTCAAAAGAGAGATGTTTAATGGACTCACAGTTCCATGTAGTTGGGTAGGCCTCAAAAATTCCCCTGTCTTGTGGGAGGAACCTGGTGGAAAGTAATTGAATCATGGGGGCAGGTCTTTCCCATGCTGTTCTTGTGATAGTGAATAAGTCTTATGAGATCTGATGGTTTTAAAAATGGGCATTTCTCTGCACAAGCTCTCTCTCTTTGTCTGCTGCTATCCATTTAAGATGTGACTTGTTTCTCCTTGCCTTCCACCATGATTGTGTGGCTTCCCAGCCATGTGGAACTGTAAGTCTATTAAAGCACTTTCTTTTATAAATTGTCCAGTCTTGGATATGTCTTTATAAGCAGTGTGAAAATGAACTAATACAGTAAATTCATACCAGTAGGGGAGGGCATTGTTGAGAAGACACCCAAAAATGTGGAAGCAACTTTGGAACTAGGTAACAGGCAGAGGTTGGAACAGTTTAGAGGGCTCAGAAGAAGACAGGAAAATGTTAGAAAGTTTGGAACTTTCTAGAGATTTGTTGAATGGCTTTGATTAAAAGCCTGATAGCAATATGAACAATAAGGTCCAGGCTGTGGTCTCAGATGGAGATGAGGAACTTGTTGGGAACTGAAGCAAAGGTGACTCTTGTTATGTTTTAGCAAAGAAACTGGTGGCATTTTGCCCCTGCCCTAGAGATTTGTGGAACTTTAGAGAGATGATTTCTGGCAGAAGAAATTTCTAAGTAGCAAAGCATTCAGGATGTGACATGGGTGCTGTTAGAGGCATTCAGTTTTATAAGGGAAACAGCATAAAACTGGAAAATTTGCAGCCTGACAATGCAATAGAAAAGAAAATCCTATTTTCTGAGGAGAAATTCCAGCCAGCTGAAGAAATTTGCATAAATAACAAGGAGCCAAATGTTAATCACCAAAACAATGAGGAAAATGTCTCCAGGGCATGTCAGAGACCTTTGTGGCAGCCCCTGCCATCACAGGCCCTGAGGTTTAGAAAGAAAAAAATGGTTTTGTGGGCCTGGCCCAGGGTCCCTCTACTGTGTGCAGCCTAGAGACTTGGTGCCCTGCATCCCAGCTGCTCCAACCATGACTAAAAGAGGCCAACATACAGCTCAGCCTGGTGCTTCAGAGGGTGGAAGTCCCAAGTCTTCGCAGCTATCACATGGCGTTGAGCCTACAGGTGCACAGAAGAATTGAGGTTTGGGAACTTCCACCTATATTTTATAGGATGTATGGAAACGCCTGGATGCCCAGGCAGAAGATTGCTGAAGGGGCAGTGCCCTCATGGAGAACCTCTGCTAGGGCAGTGCCTAAGGGAAATGTGGGGCTGGAGTCCCCACACAGAGTCCCTATTGAGGTACCACCTAGCAGAGCTGCAAGAAAAGGGCCACCACCCTCCAGAACCCAGAATTGTAGATGCACCGACAGCTTGCACCATGCACCTGGAAAAGCTGAAGACACTCAACACCAGCCTGTGAAAGCAGCCAGGATAGGAGCAGCCACAGGGGCAGAGTTGGCCAAGGCCATGGGAGCCCACATCTTGCATCAGCGTGACCTGGATATGGGACATGGAGATCATTTTGGAGCTTTAAGATTTGACTGCTTTGCTGGATTTTAGACTTGCATGGGGCCTGTAGCCCCTTTGTTTTGGCCAATTTCTCCCATTTGAAATGGCTGTATTTACCCAATGCATGTACCCCCACTGTATCTAAGAAGTAACTAGCTTGCTTTTGATTTTACAGGCTCATAGCCAGAAGGTACTTGCCTTGTCTCAGATGAGACTTTGGACTGTAGACTTTTGAGTTAATGCTGAAATGAGTTAAGAATTTGGGGGACTATTAGGAAGGCATAATTGGTTTTGAAATGTAAAAAAGATGTGAGATTTTGGAGGGGCCAGGAGTAGAAATGATATGGTTTGGCTGTGTCCCCACCCAAGTCTCATCTTGAATTGTAACTCCCACAATTCCCACATGTCATGGGAGGAACCTGGTGTGGGGTGGGTGGGTGGGGGGAGGCTGCTAATTGAATCATAGGAGCGGGTCTTTATCATGCTGTTCTCATGATAGTGAGTAAGTCTTACCATATCTGATGGTTTTACAATTGGGAGTTTCCCTGCACAAGCTCTCTTTGCCTACCACCAACCGTGTAAGACGTGACTTGCTCCTTCTTGTCTTACACGATTATTGCGAGACCTCCCAGTCATGTGGAACTGTAAGTCCATTAAACCTCTTTTTCTTCCCAGTCTCAGGTATGTCTTTATTAGCAACATGAAAACAGACTAACACAGCATATATGTAGTTTACACATAAATAAATACAGATAAATTTATTTCTCTGTAGGTTTGGTGCAGGTCTGGAGACAAATACTGTAGGAAATCACTCTTAACCCTAACAGGTATCTTACTTTGGGTTCCCTGGAAGCAGGGCCTGAGATGGGAATTTTTGTTCAAATGACTTACTGAGAGAGATTCCTCTCAGAAGAAGGGATATGAAAAGCTGGATGGAGCATAAATAAAAAGCCAAGCAAGAATATGGGTCAACGGAGGCTAGCAAGAGTCTGATCCCTCAGGAGCAACTGGAAACAGATTCCACCATAATTGTTTCCACCTTAAGTAAAGGGGCAAATGTTTTGTATACCTGATAGATCTGCTGTTGGGTTAAAAAATAGGGGATGGTAATCTCTGAGGCCTGCCAGTTCCTATTTAGCCCAAAGTGCTTCTCTAGAGAGGGGCAGTGTGAGCTGTTTGCTGCAGACACTCACAAGCTGGGGGATGCCTACTGGTTTCATTGGTTTTCCATGACCCCATCAGCTGATGATCTTCCTTTAATCAAATACATAATACTGTGTATTGCCTTACTCATTCACTTTGTTTATTAATTTCATCATTCACTCAATTCATTAAGAAACTGCTATGAGCTAGGTGCTAAGAATATAAGAATTGTCTAAACTGGCTAAGCATTCATTATTCACAGCCTCCTCTTACACAGGGACAAAGCTGCAGGTGCTCTATCAGTTGGCCCTGGTGTTGAATGTCAGTCCTCTGGAGAATATTTTGCACCTCTAATACCTGCTCACTTTATCTCATTTGAAATTCTTGGCCATAAACTACTGTTTTCCCCTCTCTACCAACAATCAAGAAAAGGTGAGCAGTACAATATGCTGGCTGGATGTGGTGCCTGTGCCTCAAAGCCTAACATATCTGTGTTTGAACCAAGGCTTTGTGATTGAGATTCATCTGTAAAGTGAGATTAATAAAATATGAGGTTGTGTAGAGAACTAAATTAAATTATATATATATATATCTCCTTTATAAAATATATATGTTATACTATATAATATATAATACATATATTGTTATACATATACAATATATATGTATGTATAATACATTTATTGTTATACATATTTTATATATATAATACATTTATTGTTATACATATATAACATATATGTATATATATGTTATATTTTTTAGACTGGCTTTCACTCTGCTGCCCAGGCTGAAGTGCAGTGGCATGATCATGGCTCACTGCAGCCTCAAACTCTTGGGCTCAAGTGATCCTTTGGCCTCAGCCTCCTGAGTAGCTGGGATTACAAGTGCATGTAACCACACTCGGCTATTTTTTTTCTAGAGACCAGGTCCCACTATGTTGCCCAGGCTGGTCTTGAACTCATAGCCTCAAATGATCCTCTTCCCTTGGCCTCCCAAAGTGCTGGGATTACAGGCATGAGCCACTACACATGGCTGATATTACGGAATGCTTATATAAGCATTTTTCTCAATTTAACCTCCGAAAAGATTACTCAACTCCATCTACTTTTCCATCATCAGTGCCATTACAGGAGTCAAACTACTAATCCTTGCCTTAACCACTACAATAGTTCTTAACTCCTTTCTTTAATGCTTTTTTTTTTTTTGCACATAACATGGGTTAAGTCACTGCCTACAAACAGTTTTTCAATGGCTTCCCATTGCAACGAAGATAATAACACATGCTGTTGCTTGGTCTGCAAGCTTCACGTGATCTGTCCTGTGTCTCCATCTGTCTCTTTCCTACCCTCATTATGCTTCTGCTACACTGGCTTCTTTCTCCTTCACTTTGAACACACCAATCTCTTTGCTGCTTTGGGGCTTCTACACATGCACCCCTGTTCCTTTTCTCTATGGAACTTCCCATGCCTCACCTACTGTGGATGAATTTCTTTCCAACCTTCAGGTACCAGTTTAAGTATTACTTGTCAACAATGCCTTCCTTCACTCAAAATCCAAGTCAGGTCCTCCTCATTATTACCTCTCATGTTCTTTCCCTTCCTGGCCCTCATCACAACTCATCATTATCCTTATGCATGTGTGTTGGCTTAATATCTGTACCCCGTGCTCCCCCTAGATGGCAAAGATTGTAAATGTTTCTTTGCTTCATTCTCATATTCAGTGTTCATCACTGTGCTTGGCAGGAAGTGCCTGCCCAAAAGACGGTTGCTGGATAGCTACACAGCTGACAATTAATTTTTGGGCTCTTACTCTTTGCCAGACACCATTCTAAGCTTTACATTCTCATTTAATGCTTAAATTCCACTAGGTAATTACTAGTGTTAGCCTTATTTTATGGATTAGGACGCCAAGGAAAAGACATTAAGTTTCAAACCGTGTTGATAGCTCATTCATTAAACATTCATCCAGCCCAGACATGGTGGCTCATGCCTGTAATCCCAGCACTTTGGGAGGCCAAGGTAGGCAGCTCACCTAAGGTCAGGAGTTTGAGACCAGCCTGGCCAACACAGTGAAACCCCGTCTCTATTAAAAATACAAAAATTAGACAGGCATGGTGGTGGGTGCTGGTAATTCCAGCTACTCTGGAGGCTGAGGTAGGAGAATCATTTGCACCTGGGAGGCGGAGGTTGCAATGAGCTGAGATTGTGTCATTGTACTCCAGGCTGGGCAACAAGAGCAAAACTCCGTCTCAAAAAAAAAGGAAAGCACAGGGAAAAGGAAAGGGGAAGGGAAAGGGCAAAGGGCAAAGGAAAAGAAAGGAAAGGAAAGGAAGGGCAAAGGAAAAGAAAGGAAAGGAAAGGAAGGGCAAAGGAAAGAAAGGAAAGGAAAGGGGAAAGGAAAAGGCAAGGAAAGGGGAAGGAAGGAGGAAGGGAAGGGAAGGGAAGGAAGGAGGAAGGGAAGGGGAGGGAAGGGGAGCTGAGGGGAAGGGAGGAGGAAGGGAAGGGGAGGGAAGGGGAGCTGAGGGGAAGGGAGGGGAGGGGAGGGGAGGAAAAAGAAAAGAGAGAAAGAAAGAAAAGTTCATCCATATTTTTTAACACCTACTACTTCAGGTGCTTGGGTTGTATCAATGAACCAGGCAGACAAAAACCCCTACCCTCACAAATCTTACTCTCTTGCACATGATAAAGGATAAAGCTTAAACTTGCACCTAGCAGGGAAACTCTGGAGCATAAGGCTTTATTTCTACTCCACACCCTGACCCTCAAACAGAATGAACATTGTGTAGAAACTTTAATGGACATTTCATTTTGAAAACTACACTTACCTAACTTCCGGTTATTCATTCATACCACTTTTATTGGTCTGTTATTAAGTTTCTCCTGAGTTCTTAAGGAAAAATGAAACGCAAAACAAATAATAATCTCCCTAGAACTTTATTCCGCTTTAAATTCCCAGCACCTGACACCTGCTAAGCACACAGTGACAACAAAGTGCACATTTATTTTGAATGAACGAATGAGGTCCAATTAATGGTTCTCTCCTATGTGCATTACCACTTGGCTGTTAGTATGCAAAGCTTCTGTTATTACTTGCTTTAATTTTTTTTAGGCAATAGACTCAGGACTTAACTCACTAAGGCTATGTCTTATCAAGCATATGAATATTTAGAGTGAAAACTGGTGAGGTTTTCACCACTGTGGGGAAGGCAAGAGCATTGTAGAGAGGCTTAGGGAGAGGACAGATGCCTTGATCTGCAGCTGTATTTGGCAACAGGAAGGAGGCACTGGCAGTGGGGAGTGGAAAGAATTGGAAAACAAGAAAGAGGGACAGAAAAAAAAGAGGGAGAAGGATACAAAAAATAAAGGCGCTAGTGAGACTGAACACTTTTAATACTATGCAGTAATTTTTTATAAAAGAAAAAATCGATTTAGAATATACTCTTCCTCTCTCTGTTTTCTCTTGATCTTTTTACATTAATAGACATAATTATTTACATGTAATTTCTTGCTGGTTCAATGTTTAATTTCTACACCTAATGAAGTATTGCCATTTGAATAAATAATATTTAATATTTATTAACCAATACTCAAGCATAAGCCATTCATTTGCTTAATACAATGCTTTTTTCATAATATGAAGAAATCTATCATTTCAA